TGGGGTGGGATGAACCCTTCCAGCCAGGTGACAATGGGGTGTGTCCCTCTGTGTCCCCACAGGTTGGAGCCCCTCCCCTGGACAAGTTCAACACCTGGGGGGGCTCCCTGTCCCTGGGCCACCCCTTTGGGGCCACCGGCTGCCGCCTGGTCATCACTGCTGCCCACAGGCTGAAGAAAGAGGGGGGCCAGTATGGCCTGGTGGCTGCCTGTGCTGCAGGAGGGCAGGTAAATGATGCTGTGCTCCACATGGGCCCTTGAGAGAGGGCAGGAACGGCAGGGCTGGTCCTGCTGGGACTCTGGAATCCTGTCTGCTTGCACCAGCTGTGGGTGCTGGGTGTTCAGAGCTCCCTTGGGCACTTCTGGCTGCCCCCAGCACTGCTCAGTCCTGTTCCTGTTYCTGGGAGCAGACTCTGACCCCCSCCCTGGCTGTCCCCTCCTGTCAGGGAGTTGTGCAGAGCCACAAGGTCCCCCCGGAGCCTCCTTTGCTCCAGGCTGAGCCCCTTTCCCAGCTCCCTCAGCCWCTCCTGGGGCTCCAGCCCCTTCCCTGCTCTGAACACTCTCCAGCCCCTCCAGGGCTCTCTTGTCAGGAGGGTCCTGGAGGTGCCCCCAGCACTGCCCTGGCCCTGCTGCCACCCCAGAACTGGCACAACCCAGGGGTCAGTGGCCACTTCCCCACCAGTCCACCACCTCCTATCCAGCCAATGTAGCTCATGTTCCTGATGCTGTGCCTGGGAGCCCTGGGTTGTGTCTGTAACAATTAGTCTCCTCTCTGTTAATGAGAGAGATTAATTAATAATTAAAACATTCCTGTGCTCTTTTGTCTCTCTCTGTTCCAGGGTCACGCCATGATCGTGGAGCTTTACCCTCAGTAACGGCGCTGGCAGCGCTGTCCCTCCATCCTGTGCCTGGCAATGCCATTTCAATGCACTAACAAACCCTACACCCCATCCTTCTTGGACAGGGGATCTGTGGCCTTTTTCAACCCCTTTTAGCTACTCAGGCAGTAATTTTTATTCAATGAGCAAGCTCTATTCCACTCCCAGAAGAGGAACAGTTCAAATGTGGCTCAGAGTCTCTGCAGGCTCCTTGTAACCTGTCTGATCCCTCTTCAGGATTTCTCCCACTGGGGAACAAMCGTTATTCCAAAGCTCTCTATGGAGAATTGAAGTTTGGAAGTTGAGGAGAAGGTGAAACAGTGGAGGTGGGTGGGCTGAGAGGGGAGGTAATGCTGTGGGGAGGAGCAGCTCTTTGGGGGCAGCAGGTTCAGCCCCAGGGGCTGGGCTGAGCTCTGAGGGGGCAGTTTGCTCCAAATGCTGTTGGAATGAGCAAATTGCATCTGAAAAATGGAAGAATGTCGCTGATGGAACCATAATAAATCAGGACAAAACCCATTTCTTGCTGTTTTCTTTTCCTCCCCTCACCTGAAATGCTTTGGGGACTGTTCCTGTGGTGTCTGGGGTGTTGGCTCTGAMATCATGGAATCCCAGGCTGCTGTGGGTGGGCAGGGACATTTAAAGGTCAGGGGCAGGGACAGAAACACCTCCTACTGTCCCAGGGTGCCCCAATGTCCAGCCTGGCCTTGGACACTGCCAGGGATCCAGGAGCAGCCACAGCTTCTCTGGGCACCCCGTGCCAGGGCCTGCCCACCCTCCCAGGAAACAATTCCTGCCCAATATCCCATCCATCCCTGYCCTCTGGCAGTGTGACCCCATTCTCTGTGTCCTGTCCCTCCATCCCTTGTCCCYCAGTCCCTCTCCAGCTCTCCTGGATCTCTCTTTAGGCACTGGAAGTGGCCCTGATGTGTYGATAAACTTAAGTGCACAGGGCTGCCTTTCTCCCAAGGATCTGCGAAGATGAGACAGTTGTTCTTTTAATATCCTGATTATTTTCTTCACTCGTTCCTCATGGCTTCGTGATGCTGAGGGTGGCTGTTACCTGCCAGGGAGCAGAGTTTCTCCTCAAGCACCTCGCACACACCTTGGAGTCCTTTCCATGACAGAAGCAGTTTCTGCCGCCCACCAGCTGCTGCCCAGCCCCGCTCTCAGATAAGGGATGGGTGCCACACCTGACCTGTCCTGTTTGTTCCTTATTGAAAATCTTGTGCAAGAGTTCTGCTCCAGGGGGAGAGGGGAACTGCCAGGGCCAGAGGGGCAGGGCCGCGCTGGGTTTGGAATCGCAGAATTGTTTAGGGTGGAAAAAAAAAAAAAAAAACTAGATCAGCATCGAGCCCAGCCACTCTGCAGCGCTGCCAAGGCCACCGCAGACCCTTGTGCCCATGTGCCACATCCTCACGGCGGTTAAACCCCTCCGGAATGGGCCCTGAGCAGGTTTTATTTGGGAAGTTTAACCCTTTCCAGAGGCGCCCTGGGGAGCTGCAGGCGGGGCCGGTCCGCACAAGCCGCGCCGGGCAGAGCTGCACCCGTCGGATGTGACTCAACCCCGGCTCATCCCGCTCCTCCCCTGCCCCGCCGGTGCCTCTCCGGTGTCCCCGCCGCCCGTGGGACCCTCTCTGCCATCGGTACTGTCGTGACCGAAGCCGCTCCGGTGCGTTTTGTGCCCGTGTGGGGTGGAAGGTGCTCAGGGGAGCGGGGTGGGCTGGGGCAGCGATCCGGGAGGGGCTGGGGGTGGCTCCCGGTGTGGATGGAGCCCGCTCTGACCCCGGCCGGTCCTACGGGATACCCTGGGATCCCTTGTGCCCGTTCGTGGGGCAGCGCTCGGGGCACGCCCGGGGCTGTGCCCGCCGAGCCAGCGCCGGGGCAAAGGTTCCTTTCGTTCTCCTTYTGCTGGGCACGGAGCCGGAGCGAGGTAGGAGAGGGGGATGAGAAGGACGGGGTGAGGGGTCCCGGCTGGACGGGGGAGCCGGGTGGTGCCGGTGTCCCCTGCGGGCTCAGGGCACGGCCGAGCCGGGCCGGGATCACCGGGGTGCTGGGGGACACGGGGCGGGTGGCATCGAGGAGCACGACAACCCCGGAGGGACCGCGGGACGGTGGTGTGCCCGGGTGGGGGCTGGCAGGACATGGGGGGGCTGGTCCGGGGGACCCTCGCTGATGGATCCCCCTTTGCAGGAGCCAGAGCTGCCCCYGTGCTCCGCATGGACCCCCCGGCGCCGGATGGGGCTGAGGCACCGCTGGAGGGGGGASCCGAGGATGAGGTGAGAGGGGGCAGGGGGTGGGGACCCCCACGGACAACAGCAGTGCGGTCCCAGGACCCCCAGRAGTGGAGGAGGGGACATTAAGGGGTGGGGGATGAGAAACCCCCACAGGAGGAGGTTTGGGGACCCCATGGGTGACTGTTTAAGGGACCCCAAAGGGCAGGGGATGTGAGACCCCCACGGGTGGTGGTTCGGGCATCCCCACGGGTGAGGGTTTAAGGGATCCCAAAGGACAGGGGGTGGGGACCCCCACGAATGAAGGATGTGGGATACCCACAATTGGAAGTTTGGAGACCCCCATGGGTGAGGATTTGGGGATCCATACGTGTGGAGAATGTGAAACCCCACAGGAGGAGGTTTTGGGGACCCCATGGGTGAGGGTTTAAGGGAYCCCAAMGGGCMGGGTATATGGGATCCCCATGGGTGGAAGACAGGGAATTCCTATGGGAAGTTATTTGTGGATCGCCGGGGATGGAGGATGTGAAACCCCACAGGAGGAAGTTTGGGGATCCCCATGGGTAGATGTTTGGGGATCCATATGGGTGGAGAATGTGAAACCCCACAGRAGGAGGTTTTGGGGACGCCCATGGGTGAGGGTTTAAGGGACCCCAAAGGGCAGGGGCTGTGGGATCCCCACGGGTGGAGGATGGGAAGTTATCTGTGGATCCCCGGGGATGGGGGATCCCCACAGGCGGGGGTTTGGGGACCCCATGGGTGAGGGTTTAAGGGACCCCAAAGGGCAGGGGATGTGCGATCCCCACGGGTGGAGGATGGGGAATTCCTACGGGAAGTTATTTGTGGATCCCCGGGGATGGAGGATCCCCACAGGCGGGGGTTTGGGGATGCAGCCACCACCATCAGCGCGGGGATGTGACCACGGGCCGCGCTCCGGCTGGCACGGGGCCACCGTGGCACAGCTGGCRCTTGTCCCTGTGGCTTCCAAGGCTTAACCCGGCTCCCGTCTCGTCCCTCGCAGGAGCCCGAGGGGTCGCAGCGCCCGGCGGGGCGGTGGTCGGGACCCGAGGTGCGCTCCTGGCTGGCGGCGCACGGGGCCGGGGCGCTGGCGGAGCGGGCTCGGGATCATTTCCTGACGGGCCGAGCGCTGCTGCGCCTCACCGAGGGGTCCCTGAGGCGTTTGGGGGTCACCCCGAGGAGCCGCCGGCGGGAGCTGCTGCGGGAGCTGCTGCGGCTGCGGCTGCAGCACGAGATGCAGGAGCTGCGGAGCATCGCGGGCGGTGAGCAGGGGGCAGGGGCTGCACCCCTCGGGGGGTGGGTTCACCTCTCCCCGATCCCCAGAGTGAAGATGATGTCCCCGAGGATCAAAGCAGCCGGGACTGAGCAACGCAAGTAGGAATAGGGGAGCCCCGACATCATCCTGACCCCAAAAATATTCAAAGTCTCTTATCAGTGCAGGAGCTGATAAGAGAAGAATCCTGGAAGATTTGATCCACGAGGCTGGGCAGCTACCCCAAGCAGGCAGAAAATAATCCCAGAACTGATCTTGTGTGAAATAGGGGATAACAAACACAAAGCCACTCATTGGAGTGATGAAAAACTTTTGAAACGAGACTGGGCAGTGACCCCAAGCAGGCAGAAAATAGTCCCAGAACTGATCTTGTG